AATGTTGTGGATTTTCAACGTGTGCCCAAACAGGTACCAATGGATGCTACATGCTTTATCTACTAGTTTGCCTATATTTTGAGCAACAGTTTAACAGAAATGGCCTTCTCAAGAGGTTTTGAGATGTTGGTGGAGAAAAAGTTTGAGAAAAAGTTGTCTCTAATTTTGTGAGAGAATTCTTTTTTTTCAAATTTTGTTTTCTTAATATTTTGTTTGTGACATTCAAATAAAGTTAACGTTCATATCAGATTCAGTCGTCAGTGTTAATTTACCACACCGGGCCACTGTTGCAAATCTGCAACATCCCAGAGTTCATTGCATGTAAAGGTCTCTCTCAAAAAAAAATTTCTGAATTGTATATTACTACCCCATATGATCATTTTCTCCAAATATCAGATTTTTCCTGCAACTACAACCTAGTTTGAACCTGAGAGGGTTAAAATAAATGGCTTCCTTCACACCCCTTCCAAACCACCTGTCTTTCCTTGTCCAAAATGTGACCATTCTGGTCCTCAAATGTTTTAAAACTTTTTTTGGAATGACTGAGAATCTTTACCAGTCATTTTAGTTAATGCATGTTAACAAGAAATTGCCTACATACACGCGTTTGATGGGAGCTATTTTTTTTTTTTCCTGGCCTGCCTGGTAACTCCATAATGAGTCAGTAAGTAATGCCAAGGACAGCGTAATGCGCTGCTAAAACAAACAGTGGCATATCATAACAGAAGTATTATTTTAACTCCACAAATAGTCAAAATGTGACCTGTGATGTTTTGGGAAAATGGTGAGAAGTTGTAAAAACATGACATCATCACCAAACACTGCACAATACAGAATATTCAAAACATGATTATGAGGAGGAGGAGAGCAAAGGGGCTGCTGCTGGACAGAAGGAAGGCGCAGTGCAATTATACAGCTAGAATATGTGGAGCTTTAAATGGCAATGAGCACTGTTGTAGTTGAGGTTGATAAGATTCCTAAAAGAGGTTATATGTTGCAGAATAAATACATTCTTACACATGCATCATTTTAAAGAACAGAGCAAGTGTAATAAAACAGCTTTGCTTAACTTGAAAAAATTATATAATAAATAGTTGAAGATCAGTTTTTGAAATATATGATTTACAATTATTCCAATGAGCTGTAACTGTTCAAATACTTTTTTTTATGTGGGTATTGACAATTTAGTGCAATACTTATGGTATTCATTTATTGAGCAAGAGATTTTAGAGCCACCAGTATTATACAGAAGTGGTTTTCAAACATTGGAAAGATTCTTCTGTTGTCATCCCTCTGCAGCCCTTGGCTGCTTGTTTGTTTTGTTAGGCTCGTGGAGGCAGGGAAACACCTAAACATGCTGGACAGCAGGTCCTGAGGAGCAAGTTTAAAAGCCACTGTTGTACAGCAGTTACTTTATTTTGTTTATTTAAAAAAAACAGTGAGTTTATTTGCAAAATAAGTATCATATTAGTACTGCCAGACTGTATTTTACTCGACATCGGATCGGAAAGGAAAATGGTGATAGCTACTGTAACAAAATTGGGAATATGATTAAAGGGACAGAATCTGTTTGTTATATAAGACAATTTAATCATAGAAAGTTGCCTTGCATTAAGAAGGTTCTGGGTTCGATTCCCGGCCCGAGGTCTTTCTGCATGGAGTTTACATGTTCTCCCTGGGCATGCGTGGGTTCCCTCCAGGTACTCCGGCTTCCTCCTACAGTCAAAAAACATGACTGTTAGATTAATTGGCTTCTCTAAATTGTCCTTAGGTGTGGGTATGTGTGTGCATGGTTGTGTGTCTTTATGTCTCTCTGTGTTTTCCTGCAACAGATTGGCGATCTGTCCAGGGTTTACCCTGCCTAAGAAAATAGATGGATGGATCAAAATATTCTGTGTATTTATGTTTTAAATTGTGATTGTGCTGTCAGCACTTGCAATCTTACTCCAAACTCAGACCATCAGTACCTGAATCTAATATGGGCTTATTAGCAGAGCTCTGCAGAGCTTGAATACTAGTGAGGTAGTTTAGCAATTAGTTTAGCACTTAAAGGAAAACTCCACAAGTTGCAGGCCAATAGCCATCCAGATTAGAGCTTTTGCTTGTTTGGCAAAGGGAGGGAAATAGTAGAAATTTAGCTCCCACATACCGGTAGTTAAAGTAAACACATAGATGATATTGAAAATTAAACATAAGACATTTTATATATATTCTTTATTTTGAAAGGGTATTTTTAATTTATCAGTTAGTGATATCTGAGGGCTGTAATTTATGTTTGTTGTAGATTGGATATAGATAATTGCTTTTCTAATGAAATGTAACTAATTCTTTACATAACTTAGGGTAAGACATGATATTGGGTTAGAACAAAATAACCTTAGACTTAGCATTCTCTTATTGTTGGCCTAGCTGCATTACTGCAAATCTTATCAAAATAAAAGCCCTGTTATTTCAGACATTTCATATACTTTCTCTGTTACTAACTGCAATTTGCCACCTTCATTATGTTGTAGTTTATGGTGTGACTTTAAAAGAGCGTGCACACACACACACAAACACACACACACAAAAGATGTTTAGCAGTTGCTTTAAATTTAGATTCTTTGGCCACATTTATCTTGGTCCCACGTATCCACTTATTATAGGATTAATCATTTTTTAATTTGGGTGCATGCAGAAACACACCTGCTGAAGCCACAATGCAAGCTTTGTTTTATTAAGTAACACCTCTGAAATGTAAAATTACTTGTGTTTGGAGAGAGACACACCCATGAGCATGTGTTTATTTCAACAGACACAAAAAAGGAAAAATTGCAAAAGGAAATACTGTTATCCTTCCGGAGGTTCAGCAAAAAATCACATCGACACGGTCAGCAATAAGGTGAATATAGTGCAGAATACAGTGAAAGACTAGATATGAACACAGAGATTAACTTTCACATCACAAGGATACAATATGATGCAGAAATTCAACATTAATAAGTTTACAAGCACTTCAAGAACTTTTTTATTTATTGCATAGCTAAATTTATTTTGGGAAACAAGAAATGTACATATGCAATAAAAACATGCTTCATCCATCCATCCATCCATCCATCCATCCATCCATCCATCCATCCATCCATCCATCCATCCATCCATCCATCCATCCATCCATCCATCTGGCTCACCAGGTGCTGTTTCCTGTCTCCAGTGTCTATGGTTGAAAGGCTTCACTTATTTATTTAAAATACTTTGATGCAACCCAAAGGTTTTGCATGTAGAAATACAATTTATAATGTAGTTGTTGATAAACCGTAAAGCTTGAAAGATAGTTATTGAATGTCTTCATAACTTACAGCAGTGCAGTGTTAATGGCAGACTAGATGCCTTGCATTTGATTGAAACATCTTTATTTCAATAACTTAACTTTGGACCAGAGACCAAGAACTTGATTTGAACTTCCTCTTCAAAGACTTGGGACTGTTCTTGAACTTGCTTTAAAACGATTTGGTGCTTCAGTTGGACTTGGAAAAAAAATAATTTGAGAACCCCTCTGGTATATGGAGATACAGCAACACAACTCCTGTAGCTGATTCCAACTCCATTCTACAATAAAATATATTTTAAAAAGGCTTTGCATGTCATATTAGCACTATTACCAAAATAACTAACATTTCTTTAAAATAAATGCTCAATTTTCTCCAAAAGCAGAGGTTGAAACCTTAAAAGGGCAGTCAGCCTTCCTGTTGTCTATTGAAAGTCTAACTCTTTTGCAGATTGAAAGAGACTCAGACTCAGGACTCTTTTCTTAATACATAGATATTTATGTTTCCTTTTATGCAGTCTCATATATCTTAGAAGTTCATCTAACTTCATGTTAAAGTGTCACAGCTAACACTGTCTTTTTCAATCATCAGTAGTGTCTCAAAACTGGAGAGTTTTGCTCAACATAACCTGACAGCACTTAGTATAGTGCATTCACTAATGAGGAAAATCCTTGTATGTATTTTTAAGAGCAAAACTGAACAAGTTCTAGCAAAAAGCCATTGTGTTATGACCCAACTTGTTGTATTGCTCTCTTATATCTATATAAGCTGCAATCACAAGCTTTAGTAGATTGATATTCAGGAAAAGTACCACCTTTAAACTTCCATTTGGCTTGACATCAGTGAACATCCTCCCAGTTCTCCCAGCATGGCTGCTATTAGTCTCCATAAACACCCTCACGAGTTTGCCATCCGCTCCCCCACCATGGTGAAAGTCAGTGGGTGCTGGGATGGGCTGCCATATGCCTGCTGTGAAGTGATGACGCTAATAAAGGAGGGAGCAAGGGCTCTTCTGCACAGTATTGCCTGATAGATGAGGAAAAAGATAGAATCACAGTTGGAGGGGATAGTCAGGATGAGGCGTTAAAGAAACCCATCCCGAGTGATCCTGGCGGTTCCACATCGGCATGGCTGTTATTTTCATACAGGGTGGAAGTGAGATACCCCTCGTGAGATTTGGGAGGGGGGAGAGGATAGTTTTGGTGGGGATTCCCTAGGTGTTCAGTCAGCTACCCTTTCCCTGAATCTGCCCTCATTACCATGACAACTGTTGCTAGCAGGTGTTTGGGGATTTAGTCCCACCTGGAAGAAACGGAAAGGCTTCATTTGCATATTGGGCACGATCAGACCCATAAAATTTCATTAAAATGCTTCATGTCGCTTGCAGTTAGAAGCCCTCAAATACTTTACAAGCAAAGGTGTTTATGAGTGTGATAAAATGCAGAACTACAGGAGACAAAGTCCCTTAGTTCTGTTTAACTAGAGCAGAATTGTGTGTTAACAAGATGCTGTTTGATCCAGTCAGTGTCATTGAACTTTGATATGTGTTGATTTAATACCCATTAATATTCTGTTGTCAAGCAAATGAGAAGATGTGGCCTATTTAAGTCCCACTGTGCAACATCTATTCCTGCTCTCATGATAAGTTATTGACATGAAAACTGTTTTTTTTTTTTTTTCCTTTCATGGCAGGATTTCTGAGGAAAGTGTGGAGTTCTTTGAACGTATGAACACCATCCTGCAGAAACAGGAGAATATGATGCGGGCAGCCCAAGCTGAGGTAACCCCAACCCAACTTCCACCTTTCCATCTGTTACACACTTAAAACGTGAACAGTTTGTGTAGCAAGCAGAGCACAGAGCTGTCTTTTCAGCCCACCACCATGACCGCTATGACGTCCGCAGACAGACGGATTGGGTTAAACAGGGTGCTCAGAAGACTGGGAGCTCAGCTGTTACAAGCTGCTGTCAATGGATATGTTAAGTCTTTACTGCCAGAGCAAGATATTACAACTCAACGCTTCACAACCTGAATTACTGCATTTTAACTAAGGGAAATTACACAGCTCAAACTGTTGATGTTGTTTAAAAGAACTGCACACTAATTTATACATCAACAAACTGATTGGAAAGAAGTTTATATTACCTTTGAGGTTTTAGTTATTTGGTTTGGAAAAAAAAGTGGGATTACTAAATGGTAATATAAAGTTACTGTATTTAGATATTTTTGACAATTTATGATCTTTCACAGTTAAACAATAATTTAGATAATTGCGGTTTTTCATATTTATGTGCTCTAAGTAAATTACTGGTTTTAATTGCATGCACCGCAATTGTTGAAGCATCTACAGATTATGCAAGGGGCTTCATGTGAGAAAGGAAATGTGTCTGCAACTATGTATGGATCATAGCTGCCAAATTCATTGTAATTGTAAATAAAGCCAGTAATTTTCCATAGACTTCACAGTGATCTGAAGTCCATGTTGATGGCATTTACAACTCCTTAGTTGCTGAGCCTTTCTGATGTATTTCCATTTGGCTGAAGTGATATTTTTCAATACCTAACTGCAACCTCAGCTTCTCCTTTCTTATGACCAGCGCAACCTTTCATCAGAGACACATTATGCTAGGCTTAAACTCAATCTTTCTCCTTGCAGTGCCATAGAGTGCCATGCTCAATGCCACCGCCGCAAGAGCATGTGGACCAGGCCTTTATTTCTGAAAGAGTCAGCAGGACAGAGGTGTGTCGGTTTGTTTTCCCTGCTTTCATTGTGTTTCAGCAGGAGTTATGTTTTAAAAGACAGGCTTTTATCCCTGCTTGTGATGTGCAGCAGAGCAGAAGTCATGCAGGGAAAAGAACTCGTACATTTATCTCTGAAAGGAAGTTATTGAGTGAAGTGTGTTTTCATGTAGCTGGATCTGCTCTATGAAGAAGCGGTGTACACGGTGGTCAACAGGGTTGGCGTGCCGGCTCCAGAACATGTGAAAAGTGACGAAGAGCTGTTTGCTTACCTTCTAAAGGTAGCTGTCTGTCTGTCTGTCTGTCTGTCTGTCTGTCTGTCTGTCTGTCTGTCTGTCTGTCTGTCTGTCTGTCTGTCACGTAATAACAAACAGAACCACTGAACAGACTGTATTTCTGTAGCTTCATTAGATTTATGTCAGTAACACTGATGGTGGCCTCTCAGAGAGTGTTATTTGTTGTGAGGAGGCTGTAAGAATTCAAGCAGATGCTCTTGGCTCAAAACTGATTAAACATCAAAGCCCAGTTATACTGTGCGCTGATATTCAGCTGTAATTATGCTACACTGAGAATCGCAGCCTCTCAGGTGTCTGATACAGGAGTCCTACAGTATATTGCGGGTTTTCCTGGTAGCTCAGCTGCTAAAGAAATTTGAGAATTTTAAACCTCTCATCACTGTTCAGTCATTTGTGCAAAAGCACAATCAGTAAAGAATACTATTGCATATAATCACCCAATAACAATTTTTATCACGGCTTTATTTTATTTTCTCAGGTGTTTGACATGGGTGAAGAGGAACATGAAATTATGTTACAAAAAGTTCAAGAATCAAAGGTGAGACATTTTATTCTCTAGAGGTGCAGTTATGATGGAAGAACAAGTCTAATGAAACTCACGATCCATGACACTGGGGAGAATTCATCTATATTTTTGGCTAAACTAAAAATCATTTTTGTTTTGTTGTATGTATACTTTTCTTTTTTTTATGGAATAGCTATACTTCTGCATTGAAAATAATGTAGAATTACTGAAGCCTTCATCATTTGTTATGGAACCAATTGTCCCCAGTCAGTCATCTGTATTACCGGTAGTGTCTGCTTTCAACAAAAAATTGGAAAACACTCAGTAACTTACTTTTATATTTGAGATGAGAGTCTAAAACATAGATCCAGCAAAAAGTAGATTTAACTTTCATAAGGGAAGCTTAGATATATACGTCAGTGTGCATTTTCTATATTTTCTCTGCATTTAGAAGAATAAGAATAAATGATTTTAGGTAGAAATTAAACCTATAAAAATGCCCTGGTAGATAGTATTTTTTTTATTCAACGGGGACTTTTGGGAGTTTACTTGTTAATTTACTTTGAATGGGATGTCTAGCAAAGCAAAATATATGTATTTTTTAGCAGCAATATAATTGAGCCAGTTATCCATCTATTATCTGGACCTGCTTAAAAACCTTGTAGTGTTTTGCAGGGGATGGTGCATCATATATTAATTCATAAATTGATTTTAGTATCACTAAATGCAAAATGTTTATTGATAGGACTACAATAAGTCTCTATTAGGTATTTAGATAGCCTGATCCATCTTTCGAATGTGGTGACATTTTCTTTACCGGTAGCTGAACAGACTGTACTATTAGTATTACCCTAAGTATATTTGCTCATTATAAGTCTTAACATTACATATTCCCTAACTTTACCCTATTATTATTTGAAGATCACAGCTTAAAACTGTTTACTGATTATATTTTATGTTAACAACCAATACATTTTAAATCACTAACAGCTGCTCACAACTATTGATGAACAAAGATGAAATAGCAAATGCACTAAGTGTTGTAAATCATACAACACTCACTCTTTGCCTTTAGGCTAAAACTACCAAGAAGTAGAGACTGACACGGGAGTTGATTTTCACTCCTGTCCCGTCCCACTCCCACAGAAAAAAATTGTGTCCCTTCCAGATCCCGGGCCAGAGTAGAAATCTAAATCCTGTCCCGTCCAACTCCTGGTGAAATTACTCCCACTCCCTTCCCGCTCCCATTCAGAATGACTCCCGCTCCTGCACCACTCCCATTCTTGTTTTTTCGTTTTTTTGAGCGCGGGTGAAAAACTCAGAGCGGAAGCACTGTTGGTTTTTGGGTCGTGTAGTTTTTTTGACTCGCATTATAGCGTAGGCTTCAAGGAATTAAACTACAAAATGGCGGCGCCGCGCCAGTACTGGATTTTTTTTCTTTCTATTTTATTTTATTTTTTGGCATCGATCCTAGTTTTTTTTTTTTAGTTATTATTGGTTTGTTCCTGCTCCCGTCTGCTCCCGTTAATGTTTAATCCTGTACCGTCCCAATCACGTGATCGTTACTAATACTGACTCCCATCCCACGGGAATCCCACAGGAATCCCGTGGGAATCCCGTGACCCGTGGGATTCCCGAAAAAATGTCAGTCTCTACCAAGAAGACTGCACATAAATCTACAAATAGATGGATATATGAATTATGTATGTATATATGTATATATATATATAGCCCATTTTTAATAGTATTGTATTAATAGATACTATATACAGTAGTTTAAAACAAACTGTAGGGCTTAATTTCTTTCTAATGTTTCAAAGGAATCTCTTTTAGGTTCTTGATGATGTTTCTTTAATCCACTGCAGTTTTTTTTGGCTTTTAATTTCAGTATGAACAGATTACTTATCTGATTGAAGTCTATGATGCGCCTGAAGTCTTTAGAAAAACGTGTAAGCTTTGACATCCAAGAGCTTCTTTTGTGCTCCCTAGCCCTCCATGGCCTTTCCTATAAAGAAATATTGTCTCTTTTGAAATAGTGACACTGTGAGAGTTTGCACCAATTAAATCATACCAGGATTTGTCAAAGTGCATTCGTACTTTGCAGCACATACTAATATCCTCATCATCGACATCATCTACTCGAAAATTTGATGGGTTTCTTTTATCAACAATTATTTATTTTCTTTCAGCGAGCCAGCTTTTCCTTGAGAGTCTCTGTTATGAAAGCAAAGAACTTGATGGCCAAGGATTCAAATGGTAAAACCGTCACGAACTTAGCAGTTTTTTTTTTACTGAAATTAAGGTGTTTGATGAATTATGCTTTTTTTTCTGTAATAAAATGCAGCTGAAAAAAGTATTATATTTCTCATTTGGATTAACCTTCCACTAAATAGCAGTATTTTTTAAAAGCTTTTGGAAAATGTATGCATTTTGGTTCATTTTGATGATTACATGATGATAAGAATGAGTTTTAGCTCAATGTTTAAGTACTAATAGATGTAAAAAGATATATTTTTTTATTAGAGGCATGTTAAGTGCTACATCAATTCCCAAATCTACAATAGAAGAATAGAATTCAACTTTATAGTCATTCCACTGTCACAAGTACAAAGCAATTGCATTTAACCCATCCCTATGGGAAGCAGTGGGCTGCCGTTGCGCGGCACCCGGGGAGCAGTCTGATTGAATCTATATCTTTGCTGACCTCTATGACAGGGTACAGTGACCCCTACTGCATGCTGGGAATCCTGGTTGGTCAGAGCCCTAGAGAAACTGAGGAAAAGAAGGAGAGGAAGTTCAGTTTCAGGAAGAGAAGGGAAAAGTTGGAGAAACGCTCTAGCACCAAAGAGGTTTTACCTGCCAGGTGCATTCAGGTGACCGAAGTCAAACCAGAGACTCTGAACCCTGTTTGGGATGAACACTTTGTGTTGTGAGTATGAGACAAACTTTGAAGCCTTCTGAAAATTACTGTCCATGATGATTCTAGTTTCACAGGCAGGACTCATGGATTCATTTGTTTCACACTAACGCCTCAAGCTGTTAATTATGTGATCAGTGCAATGCATATTCACCACTGTGAAAGCAGACCTGAGGTGTTTATTGTCATCCTTAGTCATTAAAAAGTTTAAAAGTCATTGTTTTTTCTGTTTTTTTCCATCTGTTTTTAGTGAAATAGATGATGTGCACAATGACCTCTTACATCTGGACATATGGTAAGTGGAGAACACAGGAGCATAGCTGTTTTAACGTAATCCCTGATGTCTCTGCTTTTCATATTAATTTCTTGAATTTCAAAAAAAAGAAATCATATTAGTTATTATCTATACTAGACAATACTAGGCAGGGTAAAATATTTGATTAACAAAATAATGAGCTGAAGAATTATAGAAAACACACTGGATGAACGGTTGGCTGTAATTAATATGCACAAATACATCAGTTTCCACTACACAACAAAAATTGACCTTCTTCATACAGTAATCTTCATAATTAAATGCATCAATCAATATGAGATGGAATGTATTCTCTAACACCTCATCTCAGAATATTCTTTTTTTTTAAATAGGGGAAGTAATAAAGCTTTGCTTTTTGCATAGCTTTATTTAAATGTAGTAATTATTTTACTTAACTGATGCCCTCTATGTATTGATTGTTAAGATATCAGCTATAATATCCAGCTAAATTAACAACTAAGCAGCAATGATGCAGACATTTCACATTATTCGTCACTATTTTACACACTGCAAAAAATTAATATCTCAGCAAGGGATTTTTTTCTTTAAATAAGTGCATTTTTCCTTGAATTAAGGAGGTAAGTGAGACACTTCGCCAATGGAACAAGACAATTTAAATTTAAAATAAGAAAAAAACAATTCTATTGCCCTATTACAAGTGTATATTATCTAATTATCTTATTTTAAGAGTAAAAATACTCATTCCATTGGCAAATCGTCTTATTTACCTGCTCAAATTCAGGGTAAATACACTTAATTTCAGACATTTTTACTAATTTTTAGATCGTTTTTGCAGTGCACATATTATTTAGATAAAGAATATTCAACAACATTTAACAATAGGGACTTTTTGTGAGGAAATACACTTTTCGTTATACTGTCATTTGTGCAGTAGCATAGAAAAAGGTGTGTTCTGTTATTTCTCTATATACTCAATGATAATACAGAGAAACAGTGTACTTCTCAAAGCTTCTTACCTTGAATCGCGCTGAGGAATTAGTTACCTGTTTATCAGTCTCAGTGAAATTACGTATTTTCTCTACAAGTCAATAATCAATGATAATCACTGCTTTAAATGATGCTTTAGAACTCTGAAATAACAAGTTAACTCCACTATTCAAGAGTCCTAGCGGTCATTGTTATTATGTAACCGTGATGACATTGTGGTGAGACACAGACTTGGGCTACATATAAAAAATCAGACACAGATTAATAACAGAAAAAACAAAGTAAGCATCCCTAGAGGAGACCTCTAAATATGTAAAAAAGAAAAAAAAGGAGATAGTACAAAGTATTCAACATATTAAACACCCTTTTCATGCAAGAAATTTATAGTTTCCATGGTTGATTAGGTAAGCAGTGCCGACCTTATCTATCCTAACTGCACTATCCGATAAAATGTCTCCTGCTTAATAATAGAAACAAAGGCTTTTCCATTTCATGCCGAAAGGTGCATTGTCCTCTTTTAATTTAAGAAGCATAGCCTCAGGCCTAGAGGAGCCATTCCAGTCACTTCACACATTTTGTGCCAGGAATGTGAACATGGCTCTTTCTTTGGCCGTACAGGGACTGGATAAGACGGTAAAAAGTGATCCTAGCACCCCTTGTACCTTTTACTCAAGCAGACAATGTCCTCTCGGGAGAACATGGTCGTACGCTTTCTTGAAATCCACAAAAAAACATGTGGCTCAGGCAAATTCTTGTCTATAAGACGAAGTCACACAGTCATTTTCTGGAATCCTGAAACATTGTCAGACATGTTTGTGATTATTACAATTTATGCAAAACATATACATATTTATATGTTTCACTTAGAGTGGCACTTGCACAACATGTTACAAACATAACTTTATTGTATTTTTGCATTTCCCTTCTTATTTTTCGGTAGTGTCTTTTTTTTCCAGATATGGACAGTCACTTTACCACACCTATATAGATTTTTAGCTATTTTTAATTTTGGATATGTTTGAGTGTTGTAGAGAATGTGTGCATCTTGTATTTTAAACAAGGATACGTTTTACAGACTCGTCTAAAGAGTGATAGATCTTTTAGTTTTTATTCGCACCATTTTCTCTCTATTTGGTACATGTAATTACATTTTTTGTCCTACCCATGGTCAATCTAACTGAAAGATGAAAGTAGATCAAACCCAGCCTTGTGTTGACCTTTAAGTGTTTATTTGTTCTCTGCAGGGATCATGATGATGATGTATCTGTTGCAGAGGCCTGCAAAAAGCTAAATGAAGTCAGCGGTCTTCGAGGAATGGGCAGGTAATACATAGCACTTTAGAGCAAGGTTAAAACTTATGAATGTTTCATATTATCAAACCATTTTAGATAACCAGCTTTTCTGTAAAAAAAAAATTCTAACAATGCTTTCATTTGTAAATGAAAAAAGGGTTTTCAAAATGCAGAAAAGAAAAGGTTGGCACACACTGCTGCTGATTGCAATCGCAAATCATTTTGATCCACTCTACATGTGCAAACATATTTGCCCCTGTTTTAAGACACACAAACCTTCTGAAATTCAGGTAGAGTCATTTTGGTAAGGCTTCTTACTGCTGGGATGATTTACAGCTTTTTTATACTGTCTCTATATTCTCTCATTGAGGTTTAACTGGGTCCTCAGCAAAGGACGCAATGTCTTGCATTTTAAAATCATTAACCCTATTTAGATAAGTTCTGTGTAACTGATTTCATTATAAGTATGATTAGTAAAAGGTCTAATAGAGCCAATTTCAGTCTGGACACCTTTTTTTTTTTTTTTTTTTTTTTTTGTAATAAATAAATATTTTATGTTCATATCTCCAAGTAACTAAAATCAGATATTTGAAAAACCTTTTAGTTTGAAATTGTTTTCCATTTCACTGGTTGCCAATCTGTTGCAAAGATGAAACAGGTTTTTATCCTGTACAAAACTTGATGCGTAACATTTTAGGCAATGGATTCACCCAGTCAATATTGTGGTGATTAATTGAACCTGTCATATGGTCACTTGCAGAAGGAAAAAGAATGAAGTGGCACTTATTGAATGAAGAGGCCTTTGTGTTCATTCCTGAAAAAGAGTGAACTACACCCTGCCTGTAGATTCCACTGAATCATTTGATTTTTGTCTTTTGAAAGGCGCTAACAGAAAAGCAAGCAGCCTGTAAAGGCTATGCACACAGAAAGAAGAATCTAATAAATAGTACATGTGTCTAATAAAAACCACAGAATGGCAGTCACAGCCAAGGGTCTAGAGAAAATCATTTTCTTTTGGGGAAATAGCTACAATTTAATTTCACATTTTTATTTTACCAATTCAAACTGCTTATTATTATTACTATTATATTGTATACTGTCTTTACAGGTATTTTAAGCAAATTGCAAAGTCAGTGCGTTCAAATGGATCAGCATCATCAGGGTCTGAGGAGAACGTTGATGACTTCCTTGGATGCATCAACATCCCTTTGAATGTGAGTCAGTGTCTGTCCACATAGCATGCTGCACTACTACATCATAACATGCTACATCAAATGGGAAGTTAACTTGAAACTGGCTTCTTTTTTTTGCAGGAAATTCCTGTTGGCGGACATGACACCTGGTTTAAACTGGAGCCCCGGTCCAGTGCATCTAAAGTTCAGGGAGAATGTCACCTCATTCTTAAAGTCTTCACCAGCCAGGTTTTTTTTTAGTTTATTAAGCTTGGTTAAATACACACCTGTCTGTTCGTACAACATCTAATACTTGTTCTAACTTCAGAGAGACACAACATTATCAAAGAGGGAAACAAATGTCTCCATCCACAAGAAACTTCTCCGTCAGATTGTGGAGTATGAGCATGCTCAGGTTAAGGTGAGCAATCATTGAATCATTATACGCAAATAGGAATGGAAAAATATATTTTTGAGCCTAAAGATTTGTTTTCAGATCATGACACAAAAATTATCAAAGAAATCTTGTTACATACAAAGTCCTTCTTTTTTATGAGACAAATGGGTATCAAAAGCCAACTTGGCTTTTACAGTAAGTGCCTTTTAAAAGAGAGTTGAGTTTCTCTTCACGCTTGGCCTCTGCCAGATCTGTAAAACAGAAAGATATTAGGGGCTTCAATCTTATAGGGTTTGGGTTTATTAAAACACGTGAAAACAGTTTCTTTTGTTTAGGTGGGGGTCCTTATCATTAGTAATGTAAATATGTATCAACCTCAAAGTGATATTTGATCAGATAAATATTGACAACAAAGTGTTTGCATCTATACTTAGTATGTTTGAAAGTTATCTGAGATCTTTGTGCAAGCTGGCATACCTAGAATGATGCAGCAGGAATCAATTCTATACGATACCAAAACGAAAAACACCACAACTAAATTTGAATTTAAAAAAACCCAAAGAAGAAACTTAACAGCCACCATAGATTATCCATCACAGAGCCTGTAAAGGTACACTGGAGGTTGCCTGAAAGTGTGGATGTCTTACCTGTTGTAAGAGTTGTTGTCTTTTTTCGTTCAATTTTCTATTATAAGCTCTGTATTGAGCAACTTAATGTTTTATTAAATCATTATTGGCTAATTTTTTGTTGTTGAAATATTTCAAGAAAAACTTGAAATACCTGTTTTTCTGGTTGCCTTGACCAAGATGGCTGAGAATTTCTGTTTAGAACTTCTACAGGTTTTAAGGTTTTATGCATAATATATGAACTAAAACCTTGTTGCTTTCTACTTTTTTTTTACAGTTGTTTGTAGCAGTTCAAGATATTCATGTAAAGTGCATTTTAAATTTTGAATATTATGTAATGATATTGAATTTGGGTTTTTGTCTTAATTTGGTTTGTGGCTACTTGCCAAATTGTACAATATTAGCCATTTGGTATTTGCCATGGGTCTTCCAAATAATTTATCTTGTGTATTTCTTAGTGTTTTTTATTTGGTTTTGTCTTTAATTTCATTATTTCTGTAATTGAGTTGGTTCTCTTAGTTTCTTCCTTGTACGTTTCCTGTCTAATCATATATCAGTTTACCAGAACCATCTGTATTTAGCAGATTCCATTCACCCATGTCTCATTTACCTGTTGTTCGCCAGTTTTGCTCATATTACTTAAGCATTTGGTTTGCTGCCAGCATTCATTAGGTCCTTAGTTTTTGCTTCATGCCTCCACTGTATGCCACTTTCTTTATTTACAAGCCATTTCAACATTAAATTCACAATCATCTGTCTGCAATTTAGTTCAGAAAATCAGATTATGAGAGTATTTCAAAAAGAATTATCGATTTTACCTCCAACTCCATGGCTATCATCTTTCTTTTACACACACCATTTGCTCATTGAATTGGTAAGGCAAGGCAAGGCAAATTTACTTGTATAGCACAATTCAGTACAAAGACAATGCGAAGTGCTTTACATGGTTAAAATATAGGAAAATAAAACAGAATCAAAGCAAGTAGGAAAAAAATAAAATAAAAAAAATGCAGAAACAAAAAAAAAAATATTAAAAACAGTTGGACTAAAAAAAAAGTTGAAATAATGATGTTTTAGTTGAACTGTTTAACTAGAACAGTCAAAGGCAATCCTAAACAAATGTGTTTTTAGTCTTGATTTAAAGGAACTCAGGCTTTCCGCACTTTTACAGTTTTCTGGAAGTTTGTTCCAGATAAGTGGAGCATAGGAACTAAATGCTGCTTCTCCATGTTTAGTTCTGGTTCTAGGTATGCAGAGCAGGCTGGAGCCAGAAGACCTGAGTGGTCTGGAGGGTTGATACACTGATAGCAAGTCTGTGATGTATTTAGGTGCTAAGCCATTCAGAGATTTATAGACTAACAGAAGTATTTTAAAGTCTATTCTCTGAGATACAGGGAGCCAGTGTAAGGACTTTAGAACTGGGGTGATGTGCTCTACTTTCTTAGTCTTAGTGAGGACACGGGCAGCAGCGTTCTGGATCAGCTGCAGCTGTCTGATCCACTTTTAAGGCAGTAATCGATTCGACTAAAAATAAACGCATTACGTTTTTCCAGATTATACTGAGACATTAGTCGTTTAATTCTGGAAATGTTCTTCAGGTGATAGAAAGCCGACCTTGTAATTGTCTTTAAATGCTTTTGGAGGTTCAAGTTTGAATCCAGCACTACACCTAGATTTCGGGCCTGATCAGTGGTTACTAGCTGAAGCGACTGAAGCTGTGTGCTAACTTTAGGTCTCTCCTCTATTGGTCCAAAGATTATTACTTCGGTGGTGGTGACTAAACCTGTTAGCACATCTTTTGTTTCGTGCAAACAATGTTTTTAGATCCCCTGCAACATGTCTACTTACTCCATGTTCAATATCTTTTAACCCATGTTGATTAGCACTCCCTATATTGTATGAAATCTTTACAGATTAGACCCTTATTAGGCTAAAATAAAGAAATGTATAGGTGGAAAAAATAAATAAATAAAAGAAACCTACAGTCAAACTTGGCAGTGCTAATTTGAAGATCTTGCAGGTTTTTGGTCCTTCATAACCTCAATGACTTACTCTAACTTCCTTAATTTCCGGAGGGAGTCTTCCCAAGGGATCAATAAATTACTGTCTAAGTGTAACTAACAGAACCTTGGGTTCTTCTTTATGCCAGAAATTCCTAAAGGATAAGTCTGACCAATGGATTGTGTACTTTAGTTATGCAGCTGGTGGTGATGGGCATGTTACTTTAAAAAAGTAATTAGTTGTAGTTATTTGTTACATCTCCCAAAAGGCAACTAAGCCTGTGACGAACAAGTTATTGGTCATGGGTGATGGGTCATAACGTGAGGGTTAATCTACATTCAGCAATCGTTTGGCATAGGGGAATACTTTGTTCTGCAAACATGCTATTTTGATATCGAGTTGCATCATTATCCAATCTATTACCTACCACCTGCACAGATCAGCTAGCGTACTGAGACTTAACTGAATCCTTTTTAAATTATGCTAGCTTTTTTACATGCAGAGACATTTAAGCAAATCTTTTAAGTCTGACTGATTTATAGCTATTGAGTTGAGTGGCAAAAAAAATGCCCAAATTCCTTATGATGATGAAGTCAACCTAAATCCCTCAGAAAACCCTTTAGACTATTTTAAAAGATAATGAAAGCAAAACCTAAAGAATATAGGGATGAGTGAAGACTTAGTTTTTTTTACATTTATCTCTGAAGATAATCGATATGATCTCTTTATTCTAGAACATGCCTACAAAGTTCTGATTAACTGTCAGACAAATAATACTGCTATTGTGCTTTCCCAATGTAGCATACACTGTTTGATCAGCGTATAAGCCAGCGTGCCATAGATGTTTGAACATGCCTAAATATTCTTCCATATGAGTGCCATAGCTTTCACACTTCATTTAATCTGCAGCACATTGATGCCATTCAATCAATGCAGCTATACAACCCAAGCAATGGCCCAGTTAAAAAAAGCATTTAATATTACACTATGATACATGTTGATGGTTTACTGTTCTCAAAATGGGATAATTTTATGACCACTTGAAAGCAATTCAATTCCCAGATGAACATTTCATTCTTCAATAGGGGAAAAGAATCACAAACAAAACCAAAAAGAGTTGCAGTTGTGGTCAGGAACCAGTGGAACACAGATATGTCATATATTTCATATGATTGATCTGAGCATAAACACATTATTCTGTATAGCATCACATCAAAACCTGCACACCTATTAAAAAACTGTGACAGGGTTTTATGTTTCACAAAATCTTTCGCTGTCAGCAGCTATAGGGTTTCAGGAAAAATTATTTAGTCTTTGCATTTAGCTTAGATTTAGTTTGTTGGTATAAATGCTTAAAGGAGCATTGAGCAAGTTTAAAAGTAAAAGTATGACCATAAGAGAGAGATTTTGGTCAGACTCCTTGGATGTGCTTGTGGGTGTCTTGCCCTGCACACTCATTTATCGGACTACTTTGTTAAGTCTCTGCTGCCAATGACACATTAGCAAGAGAACTCAAGCAGTTGTTTTTGAAGGTGGATCACAATAGACCACAAGTTTAGACCACAACGATTTAAGACTCCACATAAGAGAACAAGACCAAAACTTTTGTCTAGTACCAGGAAAAGAGTGAAATCGGAGTGGTGGAATAAGACGAGAATAAATATTTGGGAAGTTTTCAAGGGAGCCCAGATCCACCCTGGGATGAATAGGGACCAGCACTTGGTCGTCTTTTGCTAAAAAGGTAAGAAAAAATCATTTGTACCCCACGTTTAGTGAATGAAAGATCCACAGTAGCCATAAAATTAATTTGAATCTGACAATAATGATAATAAATGAAAACTACAGAAATGAGCACATGAAACTCAGACATTGATTTTGCACCAAGCCTTTAAATAATGCCAAAAAAAAGATTAAACAGACCTGGACAAAAAAGGATGATGCCTCTAGAAAAGATTGAAACTAAAGGGACCTGCGACAAGCTCACTGCGACACACTGCTGTAGGAGTATAACCAGCCCTTATGAAGATTAAAGATTAACTTCAAGTTCTGATGAGGCCAGGTTGAAAAGTGATCTCTGACTTTCTTTTTTTTTTCATTTTTGTTTATTATTACTTTTGTCAGATTCGCTTTATTTCATCGACCATTGTGAGGTTTTCTTTCATCAATCAAGGGGTATGACAATTTCATCCACGTGTATAACTTAAATATCTATAACTTCCTTCCCTGAAATGACATAACCCCCCTGAACTAAAGACCTGTGCAGCTGCAGACTACCATGCTTTTCCTCTTCTCCTATCGGTGGGCACATTACTGGTGTTATTTCATCTTGTTGCCAGAGGGGGCAAATGCATCCAGCAGCTGTAGAACTTGTGCTTTACTTAAACTACAGGTCTTTCAAGAATAAATACAATTGTCTGTGCTCCGTTGCTCCTTTTTTTGCTGTAACTTCCTATGAGGGAAACCACATATGTTTCCTTCTGATTTCGCAGTAGTTAGAAACTGTCACCATAATGTCTTTTTAACCTACATTGGTATCAAATCATTTGCATTATTTAGGTCTTGGTACCAAGTCAAAAACAACCATATTCCATCTTGGCAAAATTAGTCTTCTTACGTTGCAATAAGTTTGACTGAAATTATACTGTAGTTCTTTTAAAACCACAGAGAGAGCCATACAACTGGAATGGACAGGTTTCTCCTCCAGCGTGGACTATTCTAACTCACCATGCTGTGCAAACTGATCTTTCACCTCTGCAGCAGGCTATTGTGTAGGTATTAATTCCAATGGATAACACTGATTTCATTGAAAGTAAGACCTAAAGCAATTGGCTGCAAAGGTTCATATTCTCTTTGTTTTATGCAGGCGTTGGCAGTGCTACAGCAGCCACCATCGGAACCAGAGGCTCTGCTACTCCCTGCTGCTGCGCCTCCTGAGGACCATCGATGCAGAGTGGGATCCTCCTGCGGTGAGGGGAGACCTGGTAGGTTCAGCATTATAAGCTTCACAATGGGGGAAAAAAAACATTCATCACCTAGAAACGGTCACCTCATTAGCTCAGCCCTTCACCAGCATTGACCAAGGTTTTTGGTTCAGCCAAAAATGTCTCACAGCCAGTGTACTGGAAGCTATAACTGAGGGCCCTTCCTATGTCCAGGAGAGGCAGCTATCAGACAGCTTCAGACTGTACACAGAGCACTGCGTGTGCCTGATGAAGAACATGCGTCAGGTTTTCCCCTGCACAAGTGCTGCTGCCATTACACGCTACGAGCTCATGCTGAGGTAAAGTCACACCCCCATCACATCAGGCTCTCGCCTCCCATACCAACAACCCTTTTCACTCCAACAAACACAGAGAGACTAAAGCCAGTCAGTCACACTCTGTGCAGGCAGCAGTAATATCACGGTATTTTACAATGATATTATCTTGATCATTTCTCATTATTCATATGAAACAAAATAATTATCGTTTGTTTCTTACTCAAAATTGTTGATCGAAAGCTAAAAAAGGATGAATTTTGTTTCTCAGTAATTTGACATATTATCATTTTATCCTAATATTATTTTTCATTTTTTATCATGCTGGGTTTCCATATGAGTTGCAACAAAATTGTAACATATACAGCACTCATATTGCACAACGCAATAAACCTAAAGATATTTGTGTCCTTTTAAAATATAGTAAGAACAAATAGAAATGTGTAGAAGTTTCTTAAATGATGTGTTTCCACCGCTTCTCTTTCAAAGGTTAGCTTGAGGAGATCAATTAAAATAGGCTACTGATGCCCAGTGGCGGCTGGTGGAGTTTTCCCCGGTGGGGGGGCTATAAATTCACAATAGACTTATGCCAAACACCAATAAAGCGTATACTATAGTATACTAAGTAAATCGAGGTTATTAGGTGGGTGGGGCGGTAGCTTAGCACCCTCTATTGGCCAGCCACCACTGCTGATGATGCCTCTGAATCTGCAAAAATCCACTGATCAAAATTTTTGCATTTGATTGTTTTTAATGCTTTCTAATCACAAACATGAAGCCATTAAAATGTGTGCAGCATTCTTAGGATGTATAATAAGGATGACACTCAGATTTACAGAAAATCTAAAATGACTAAATTCATTCATATGTGGGAACTGTAATGAAGTCCTCATATTTACACGTTTCCATAAGTTACTGATTGGTCAAGGGTTAGACCACATAGCTTAAAAATAATCATTCATAAAAACTCTCATACACACCCAGCACATATCTTTACCCTCCTTCATAAATAACCCAGACTCCTGCATACAATTAGACTGAAATTCATTTAGTGAGATTGCAGCCATTATACTTGCTAAACTCTGAGAACAATGTGTCACCGTGTGATGAGTTGAATAGCAATTTTGTGGTGTAATTGGTTTTTTCCTGTCTGTGCATGCCAGGGGGATTGGCTACATGCAAAACATGAGGGCATTTAAGACTGTTTGTCCTCTCCGAAATGAGCTTCATTTGGACATCACCACTGCTGTCAAGGTAACAATGGAGCAGCCTTTATAACAGAATAGAACATCTGTATTACTGTATAATCAATTTCAGCTCTAAACTGTTGGGTTATTTATTTAGTTTAGACAAAATATGATAAAATCCATTCAAGAGTAGTTGAAAATTGGTAAAACATATATTTTTTTACAAAGCTAGTAGTGGAAGTGTCAATTTTTGGAAAATAAATACCATTTTAAACAGAGGGACATTGTGATAATGTAAATAATAAAAGAAAATGCAGTACATCAAAACCTTTTAAAACGGAAACATGATAGTTGTAATTCTAGTGTGAAAGACATTTGTAATTGATTTTGGACAGAATCAAAACATTTCTATTAATAATAATAAACTAAAAGTTTGAAACTGACTTCATTTTAATAAGATAACATGTCTTGAAATGTTCTGGCATTACCTGACAAATCTATTTTTTTTTATGTTTTCTTTTTATTAACAGAAAGGAACGTCTGAGTGGTATGAAAGCTTAATAGCTCAGTATAAACCAGAGGAAGGGGTAAGTTTATATGTAATGCTACAAATCATGCCATTTGAGTAAGCGAGGCTCATATATATATACCATCAATTATTTTTTTTTTTTTTTGATAATTCAGTCTCTGGAAGAGCAGCTGAAAAAACTGGTACATGTGATCGATGCTGTTTGTGCAGACCTACAGAGAGCCCAAAACATCTACAACAAAGTCTTTTACAGGTGAATATTTTTTTTTATATTGTTTTTTTTCTTGTTTTACTAAAGGCAGTAGTGCTAGCTACTTAGTAGCTCAGTGTGTAAATTTTGTGAAACCTAGTGAAAAGTTGTTTGTGTGCTCTCTTTGTATTTAGTCTCATTTCATTTCAACTTTTGCTCTCACAGTGCCGTGAAAGTAGATTTTTTCAGCATATCATACAGGCAGTTGGAAAAACAGGTGAGTCTTTGAAACGAGGTGAAAATGTCTTCTGAAGTCTCTGTGAGTCATGCTGCGATGTTGTTGTTGCTAAATTTGACTCTGCCTCTTTCCAATTTTTCCTCCCGGCAGGTAGCAGATGATGTAAATGTAGCAATGGAGAGGGTTTGTGGCACTCTGGAGCAGGAGAGCTCCAGACTGACTCAGACTATGGGGGAAACCATCTTCGAACTCTTCATGTCCTTGAAGATCCTCAAAGGCTTTCGAGAGTTTCTTCCCCTCAAGTTTGTTTAATTCAGACAACTATTCAGGTCTTGATCTTTTTTATCATCTGTTTTATTAATAAACACTTCTGCTCTTCTCAAATAGGGATGCCAAAATGTTGGCACTAACAGGCTTTCATAACTGGTTCAAGTCATCGATTCATAAGTTCCTGCAGATTGTTCATGACAGGTCTTGTGACAGAATCCGCAAAGCAGTGGACACAGATCAGGTGGGCCACTTCTGCACTTCAAAGGCAATTAATTAGATAATTAAAAACAGTTGGTCTGGGATGACAGGACCTACAAATAGAAACAAACATCCACTGTGTTTAAGTCCATAACCCATAGGCGTGTGGAACTAAGTTTAGTATTAATTTCAATGTTTTTAAGTCCTCATCATAATATTTTTGTTGTAGCTTAATATTAATTCAGTTTATTTCTACAGCGCCAATTCACATGTCATTTCAAGGCACTTTACAGAGACAATTAAACCAGATCATACAGTCAAATTGGTTCAAAGCTTCTATCTAAGGAAAACCAGCTGATTGCATCGACTCCTTGACTCGAAAGCAATCACTCACACCAAGCATGCTTGTAGCGACAGTGGAGAGGAAAAAAAAAAACTCCCCTTTAACAGAAAGAAACCTCCAGTGGAACCAGGCTCACTGTGAGCGGCCATCTGCCGAGGCCGACTGGGGTACAAAAAGATCAAAGCAGAGATACAGAAAGAATCAGATATAGAAAAGGTTACTGTTAGCCAACTCCACAGACGGCCCCATCACGGAACGACAAAGCTAGGCAAACAAGCTTCTAGCCAGTTCCAATGTAAGAGGCTGACAGAGAGCACACATAATTAGTCATGGTAAAAGAAAAAGGACTACACTCCAAAATCTATTAACAAAGATATCAATGGCAGCAGCACAGCTGATATTTCTCTCCAGGATGATGTCACAGTCAAACAGGAACAGACCAGATGAGGCTACTATAACTGTAAAAGCTGAGAGAACAAAAAGTTAGGGGTTGAATTAATAAATACTGGAGAATGGGAGAACAGAGAGAGAGTGGTCTCTATATCCTCCAGCAGTCTAAGCCTATAACAGCATAATTAAGAGAATCAAGGAATTATTGAATCATTTTTAATTTTTTATTGTATAAAGTTGTTATTTTACTTTAAATATAAAAAAATATCCTGTGCTCAACCTCCTGATTGAATCATAAATCCAAAATACTTTTTTAACTGAATCAATTAATTTTCTGATTTGTAAAATCATTAAAAAGCATGTGTTCTGTGAGCAGCTTCAGCCTGTGCAACAAGCCAAACACAGTTCATCAGCAGTCGAAGTGACAGCTTGCTTCAGCCAGGTACGCGAAATCTGGCTCCAGCTGGCCTGGCCAGACTCTGCGGGGGCCTTCATCTTTGTCACTCGTCTGACAGACGTGAGTGCCACTTTTAGCATTGTCACACATGCATACTCATATCCTGCAGTCATAAAGAGATGATGCTTAGAAGACATGCAGCAAGAGTTTAAAGAAGACTCATGTTATCCCTTAGATGTTTTCTCCTTTTGTTTTCCATATTGCACGCACAAACTTTAAATTGATAAATTGATATGTTTATAAGCCAGCACAAGGTAACATATACAGTATGTGGTTGAAAGGGGAAAAACATTTGGAACACTAGAACACACAGCCAGAGCTCCAACTGCATGTTTTTGCATCTGTTAGGTAGTAGTAAGGCCCATGAGGGGTTGGAGGCATACTCTAAAAGACTTGCAGAAGCAATTGGTCTAAAAGGGGTTCTAAAAAGGATTTACTCAACACTGTTAAGAACAAATGAATGTCATGGATTTTATACTTTAATTTCTATAAAAAATTATCATCAGTTTTTCCTGCTGTGCTATCATATACAAAGATACCGAAACATTGTATAAGCCCCCCCTGGCTATGTGTCCCACAGAACTTCTGCAGTGAAGCTGTTTGCTACTCAGAGATGATGACGCGCAAGATTGAGAGGAACCAGCTGGGCCGAGACCACAAGAGCTTCATAGTACAGGTAGCGCCTGTAGCGAGGAAGAGCAAGGGGAGGGCACATATGGTTTTTAAAGCAAAAAGTTCCTCCTTGTAAGCTCAGTATGAGGGCACAGATGTATGCACAAAGAAATAAAGCCGTTACATAGTCATAAATCATTTACACCCACGACCCATCTCTCTACTTCTTGGTAGCCCTGCTTCTTTTCCTTCTTTTTATCTCTACCACCACCCTTCTGGTTCTCCCTCTCTGCTCCTCTTGGCTTTCTGCTAGCTCTGCATTGGACTGAACAACGTAGAGCACGTGCGTGTTTTCCTGGCTCAGCTGCCCCGGGACTTCGGCTGGGCTGGCGTGGAGCGAGCCATGGAAGAGTCCTGTGGGGTGGAGGGGAAAGAGCAGGTTTACAAGGCCCTAAATGGCCAGCTGTTCAACATGGACCTGGACCTGCAAAGAGAAGTAAAACGTCTGATCACTCTGCTCACTGATAAGGTGAAACATTACCCTCAACCATCGGACTATATTGGTATCAATTAGAATATATACAGAGTGGTATAACTACTAATCATGAAAATACCTGTACATTATTTTGTACATTGGGTTTTTTTCTTCATTCAAACATCCAATTTATCTTTTGCCACCAGAATGCTGTTAAAAAAATTACTGCCATACCTAAATATTTGAGACATCTGTCCTTTAGTAGATAGTTATAAATAAATAAAAAAAAACATGTGTTGTTTAACAACTGAACATTAAATGTGCAGATGCTGCCTGAGCTGCGCCGCTACATTCAGCACATCAGCTTGTCCCCAGATTCCATCAACAATGACGACGTATGTAGCAACAAATATTTGATCATTTCACTTGTTAGAGAGTTTTTATGTGTGACACGTGGCCTATTTTTCAGGCTGTTTCCCCCCTTATGAAGTATCTTCAAGACACTATGCTCATCCTGACAGCAAACCTTGTCAAAGAAAATCTGAGCAGGTATAAATATATTGTATATATGTGTATTTTCTATTCATGTCACCTAGGTGGGCTGCTCAGTGGCACAGTGGGTAGCACTGCTGCCTTGCAGCAAGAAGGTACTGGGTTCAGTTCCTGGCCCCGGGTCTTTCTGCATGGAGTTTGCATGTGTGGGTTCTCTCCGTCTTTCCCCCACAGTCCAAAAACATTAACATAGGTTAATTGGCTTCTCTAGATTTTCCTTAGGTGTGATTGTGTGCTTGAATGGTTGTATGTCCTGTTTGTCTCTGTGTTGCCCTGCGATGGACTAGCAACCTGTCCAGGGTGTACCCCGCCTCTTACCCATTGATAGCTGGAGATAGGCACCAGCACCCCTCGCGACCCCAATTGGGACAAGCGTGTCAGATGATGGATGGTCACCTCACTGCTTTGTTTTTGATGTCACTCCCCGATCTCTACAGGGAGCATGATCCATACCATCAGTTCATTTGCCCACGTGTACAGTAAGCAGATATTTACCCAGGTCGTCATGAATAATCTAATTAGGATACTCAAAGTATTACTTTCTATTATTAAATCAGCAAAAACGCTTAACTTCATCTTATAAAAAATATATAACTGCTTGTCTGTCATTATTGGACATGCTCAGTGCAGTTCAGCAAACATATGATTGCACTATTTTTTCTGCATTGTAATTATGTTTTTATAAAGATTATGCACTATATACCATAAAAAGTTCAATTAAAGCAAACATATAGCTCAAAAATGCTACATTTATGCAACAATCCAAACCCGATAAATTTAGTTGGAGGAGGTAGAATAGAATCCCATATCTGGGACAGATTGGGCAGATTATTAATAATACAGAAAGGATATAAATGCATTATATATTAATTTAATTTAGAACATTAATTATTAACCTTTTCTGCTCTGCAGTTTGTATGCTTATTGTAATCAGGAAATATGAGGAAATAACGTAATACCAGTCTGTTTTATAAAGGACAATCAAAGGCAACCTGGATGTATGTCTGGTTGCGCATATGCAAATGAACATGATGGTACGGATCATCATACCGGTACAGATGGGGTAGTGACAGTGGAACAGTGGCGAAAGAAATTGCAATGAAAGTTGGAACGAAACCAACAATGCCACAGACTTTTCTTCATCATGCACAGAGAAACTGCTAAGAAAAAGACTGATATAGCTAACTACAGAATTACAAAAACCTTTAGAGGCTAAAAAAGATTTGAGATTGTTTTAGTCTAACCTTTTGTCTGAAATAGCTCCAGCTTCTAGAATGATGCAGCCCAAATCCAGACATATATCAGTTGACAATTTAGTGATGAGAATTTGAAACTAATGTTCTCAAAAACACTTGCACTACTGTGCAGGAAGGAATGACCAAACGTATCTAGATTTTTATTGTCACATAAATTGCATGGAAAACATGCAAAAGCGTGTAGCTGTAACATAGCAAAATGTGGCAAAGCTATAAGAATATTTGAAGCACAAAAGTGTAAAGCATTGACAAATACATGGAATATGTGTGCTGCATGATTAATAACAGTACATATTATGACTTAGAATATATTTGTCAGAAACAATAGTTAGTATAGGTATGTTATTTGTTATGATGGTTTAGCCCTTAAAGTGGGTAAACCATCCACTCTGTCTCCTGCAAGTTCCTAATAGAAAACACAGGAAAAATGTTCAGTTTATTGAACTGAGGCAAAGCCAGCAGGTTGGAGCTACATATGAAATATGTCCCGTAAACATACAACCTTTCCAAGTCGATTATTTGAGAAATGATGGACAGCATTTCCTCCAGCCTAAAAAGAGAGGACACCATCTGTTTTTTTTTTTTTTTTATTATTATTATTTTTGTTTATTACCAGCACCCTGTAGCGACAGCATGCATGACTACATAAGGGGTCATAATTCCACATGTCTTTAGAAACTTTTTGCTTCTATAAAATTCCCATTAAGTCTGTATAATATTTCCTTTTGGAGAAACACAGGCTGCTACCAAAGATGGCATCTTTTTCAGGAGGAGGACCTGGCGCTGTAACAAGTGTTTGGACATTAATCTGGTTTTGGCTAAAACTGCAAAACAGCTTTGAAAACAAGTGATTATTTTAGTTCAACATTTAATATGTTCACATTCCTGTTCCCTCCAAGAAGTGTGGGTTTTGTCAACATGATTTTGGAAACAGGGTTTCACGTTTTTCTGTCTGTGGGGGTTGGTGGTTTGAGAGCGTCCCTCATGCTTATTGTCTAACAGAGTTCTGCAGAGCATGTGGGAGCTTCTTCTCCAAATGATCCTGGATGCGGTTACAGAAAACAGGGGTGTTCAAGTGGAGTTCTACAACCGCTTCCAATATACAGTTGAGGTCAGTATCACATCGTTCTACTTTAATAATCTCCCTCTCTGTATGCTAGATGTAATGCACTACTTAGCATATGTCAGATATTCATGAGGTCTTCAGATTGCAGCTATGTGCCAACATGAGCTCCCTTATGAATGACAATGTGGAAACTGTTGTTTATTCAACAAATTCAGCAAGCTGGCAGGGGACGTCACACATTTCCATCAGAAGTCAGGGCCAGGCACACAAGTAGACTAAGTTGGGATTCAGCAGCCGTTTGCACCATCCTTCCACACCTTCCTCCACAAATATCACGTTTGCCTGCCCGAGGTTTCATAATGTTTGTGTGAACAACATCTTCTCGAAGCTGAGACTTAAGCCTGTTCCTATTAGAGGGGCTTGTGGAATGACTCACAGCAGGCTTGCTCTATTTTTGTTGTCATTTAAATGTTTTAGACCCTGTTGCAGTTCTTCCATGTCAAGGGAGATGGTCTGTCCTTGGAAGACATGAAAAGTGGAGACTACAAGGTATGTAGTTAAGCAAATCTGCCTGCCGAGTTTTATTGGTTTGGTAAAATTACATCCTTTCCTTAACTGTTTATCTTTGTCGTTTAGGCGTTGGATGAAGAGCTCAGACTAAATAAATGCTCCTCCTTTGATCTGATTGAGCAGTACTACCTGGAGAAGATTTCCCTCCAGGTGTGTTAAGTTCCCCGAAGAGACAGTTTTATTAAAGTGGATAGAGAGGTATTGATTGAATACGCTGCGGTCCATCACTTTAAAATAGATTGAAAGTGTCTTTTCTCAAGATCCTAAAAGCATCATGCAATCAAGTAATGCAAGATATTGACACAAAATGTGAATAATTTTTTAGGTTGTGAGAAAAAAAGAAAGGATCTTCTATGTTAGTGGATTATTGTTTTTGCTTGGTTGGTGAATATGTGTTTCTTTTACTAATGATGTTGCAGAAAACACTCAAACATACGCCTTATGGTCGGATCAGTGTGAAATGCTACTATGACCCTCCAGAGCAGAGACTGACTGTGGAGATTCTGCATGCTGCGGACATAATCGCACTGGATGCCAACGGTATGAAAAAGAAAGAAAGTAGACAGAAGCCTGTTAGTCAAAAATCAACTCATGCTTTGATCCTCTTCCTCAGGTCTTAGTGACCCCTTTGTCATTGTGGAGCTTTGTCCTCACCACCTCTTTCCAGCAGCCAAGAGTCAACGCACTCAAGTGAAGCTGAAGACGCTGCACCCGGTGTTTGATGAACTATTTTATTTGTGAGTGAAATCCCTTAGTTTGGTTGCTTTGGAGAGATTTCTATTCAGCTCAAAGTCCTCCACCTTTTTGATGCTACAACCAATTATTTCAGCGATTTAGAATCCCGAAGCCTAAAACAAACAGACTGGAAAACTCCTTTGTTTCATGTGCTATATTAGTTCTAAACTCTCACTGTTTATGATTTTATCCTCCTTCCTTTGCTTTTCATAGAACAATTATTTTCAGCAGCATTTCTTTAAATCTGAAATATTTAATGTCACTTGGTTTAATGGTCACTGCATGCTGTCAGGGATTTTAGCAGACAATTTTGTTCGACAGTTAATGTGTGTGTGTGTGTGTGTGGGGGGGTATTTCTTTCTTTGAAGGCTTGCCCATGTAGGTCTGAGTGGCGACAATAAAATGACTTGAAATTGAACTAGAAAAATTTGAATCTGTCTTCTTTGAATCTTATTTGATAAACCAACACAAAATGTCACATGGTTCTAAATTAGAAACAGAAACATATAGGGTTTCCAATTCTTTTAATGAATAAAAAAACTGTTTCTCATTCTTTAACAGTTTCAAATCTCGGGGCTTGTATCCAAAAGCTTTGTAGAGTTTTTTTCCCATTCTTTGTGCTAACATAGCTGAACTTTGCTTAGCTTATCTAAACCACTCAGCTGGAGCTCTGGCAGTGTTGTTTTCCTGCTGGAAGATGAACCTCTGCCCCATTTTAAAGTTGTTTGCAGCCTTTTACAGCCTTTTACAGGTTTTCTTATATTTAGCTACAAGCACCTTTCCTTTCCATCAACTGATCAGCACAATGCTGTCACCACCATGTTTAAATGTTACAAGTGGCGTTAATTAGGTTATTAATTTTCTGCTACAACATAAGCTTTAGCATTAGCTAAAAAAGTCATTAAGAACCAAAACACCTTGTTCCAAGTGTCCCCCTACAGGGCTTATGGCAAACTGCACATTAATGTGCTTATAATAATTTGTTCTAATAACAAATTCTTCATTTTTAGCTCTAGATCCTTCTTCTGTTCTTAATTCCCTTCTTATCCAGCATTTGAGTTTTCTGGATAGCCGTGTCATATTGACCTGAAAACCACTGTAGAGCTTTTCACAACTTTATTCCTGGCCAGCATGACTATTTTATTTTGGTGTCTATGATGCTGTTTTTTTAGTAGTGCTCTAACAAAGATCAAAGCCTTCACAGAACAACTGGATTTACAGTGAGTTTGAACTGTAGACTAATTAGGTAACATCTTGCAGAGAAGAGAGTTGGTTTAAGAGAGTTTTCTTTGGAAGAGTCAGAGTAAAGAGGGGAAATACATGATTTTGTGCTGCTTTGTGTTTGTCCATTACATAAAATTCTAATAATGCTGCTTAATATTTTATTTTTGTTACATGACACAATGTTGAATAAGTATGTATGCAGCATGACAGAATATGTTACTGTGTTCTTCATTTGTTTGCATTTTTATTTTTTTCCAGTCATGTCAGTCCTGAACAGTACAGACACAGGTACGCTTGTCTGACCTTCACTGTGATGGATTATGACTGGCTGTCTACCAACGACTTTGCCGGAGAAGCTGTCGCTCCTCTTAGCGACTTCTGCTGGCCAGGGAGACCAAACGCCTCGGCTGCCGGAAAGAATGTCCAGCCAGTCATTCTGCACTTGTCCCGCAGCAAACCCAGTGGTACAAATACAGTAGCTGAGGATGTTTTAATCCTCTCACACAGAGATAGCATTGTATCTTACCTTTAGGGGAAATTCTAAGAATATAAAAAGCCACGTGTGTTCTCTCTGTTTCTATCTTAGAAAAGCCAATCATGAGGATGCTGGATGCTCGCACGGGAGACAGGGAGGCTCAGGAGTTTGTCCGCAGGCTGAAGGAGATTGAGAAGTCGATGGAGGAGGACTAGGAACTGTTGGTACTGGTTGTCTTCATGTTTTCTGACCACATATTGCGACATGTGCTTTTGTACTTGTATCAATGTTTACAATATCTAACTTTTTTCCCTAATGTATTGTTTGCTTGGTAATTATACCAAAACAAAAAGAGAATCAGGATGTTTTCTTACTGGAAGATGAACATCCTGTCACTGTGCAACTCTATGCTGTCTCAGTTGAACTATATTTTAGAAGTTAATGGATAGTCGATAATGAATGTTCTTAGTCTATATTTTTTGTAATGAAGTAATTGTTATGCTTGTTGTATATTTGATATGATGGATTTATCACTGAAAAACTATTTTGTTGACCTAGTCAACATATAGCTCTAAATCTAACGTCTAAACCTGTACCTCAGATTTGCTCATTAGTTAAAGAGGAATTTAGCAGGGGTTCTTTAAAAAAAAAAAAGTGGAAGTCAATTGTGTGAAAGCTTATTTAAGGTGTTAACCTGCTACATCATACATCACAATTAGTGGCACTCCTGGAAAAGTTGTGTTAATTAGAGTGAAACTGTCAGCACTCTACTATATGTAGGTATGGACATGTTTAAACAAAGTTACCCATTCCCTGAACTACTCAAATCTACACATATCAGCACCACCTGCAAGGCATTTCCTATTGTTTTTCCCTTGTGGTGAGCAGAAACTGACCTTTGTGTCATATTATATTTATACCACTGGAAAACAAGGTGTCGTTGGTTGCTATTTAGTTCCAAAACACTATAATCAACCTGACAACATTAAGTATGCATCACTACAATTTGTTTAATAGATTAATTATATAGACATTGGTGTGCCACCAGGGATCTTTTTAAAATCAGATATTTTTTCCCTCCTGAAAAACTATACTCAGTCTGCAGGTTGTAATCCACTCACATATTGTACCACTGCTGTTTTTGTATGGCTTAATGCACTTCTTAATAGCGCTAATCAATTGTAGAAAGAATTGGAAGATTCCTATTATGAAGCTTCTGACTTCAAACATAGGAAACATAAGAAGAAATACATTTTAAAGAGAGTTTTAGGCAGTCGGACACTTAATGTTTGTTGTCTAGTCTGGTTTAGCAGCAGGGAGGTCTAATATTTCCTTGCAGACACACACCACTGCTCGGATTCATTTAACTTCCTAGATTGCTTTTTCATGG